TCTCTTAGAAAATGAAACCGAACTGCAATATGCTTGCTCCTTTTGTGCAGAACCGGATTTTTGGATAGTTTTATTGTTGAACTATTATCACAAAAAATGGTTGTGCACTCATTATTATCACAGCCAAGCCTTTTAAGAACCATTTTCATCCACATCGCTTGACAAGCACATGTCGTCGCTGCTATGTATTCAGCCTCCGTTGTTGACAATGTTACAATTGGTTGCTTTCTAGAAGACCAAGCTACTGCTCCTGAACTGATCATGAAAGCATATCCTGAAGTGCCCTTTCTATCCTCCAAACATCCTGCGTAATCGCTATCGCTGTAGGCAGTCAACATGCTACTTGCTCCTTTCTGATATAAAATGCCAAAGCTGGTAGTTCCCTTCACATACCTTAGCACCCTTTTTGCAGCCATAAGATGAAGTTCTGTAGGTTGAGACATGTACCTACTAATTAAGCTCACTACATACATCAAATCTGGACGAGTTGATGTTAAATAAATCAAGCTCCCAACTAGCTGCTTGTAGAAAGTGCTCTCAACCATAACTCCATTCTCATCTTTCAAAATTTTGAAACCAGGAACTATAGGATTTAAAACAGCATTGCAATCTTCCATTTGAAACCTTTTAAGTATATCTCCTGCATACTTCTTTTGGCTAATGAAGATTCCATTTTCTAATTGTTGCACCTCAATACCAAGGAAATACCTCATCTTTCCTAAGTCCGACATATCGAATTCCTTCATCATTGACTTCTTAAATTCCCCCATCATTGATTCATCATTACCGGAATATATTAAATCATCAACATATAAACTTACAATCAGAAGTTTACCTTGAACGCTGGTTTTAACAAACAGAGTCTGCTCGCTAGAACACTTCTCAAATCCCTCCCTTAAGAAATAAGATTCGATGCGACTAAACCAAGCTCGAGGAGCTTGTTTGAGTCCATAGAGAGCTTTTTTAAGCTTGTACACTTTGTGAGGTTCGTCTTTCTTCACAAAACCAAGGGCCTGCTCTACATAGACATCCTCCATTAACTCGCCATGTAAAAATGCAGATTTGACGTCGAGTTGATATACCTTCCATTCCTTCTGAGCAGCTAGTGCCAGAATAATTCTGACAGTGTCCATTCGAGCCACCGTTGCGAAGACTTCAGCATAATCAATTCCATATCGCTGCACATACCCTTTGGCGACCAATCGGGCTTTAAATTTCTCCATTTCACCGTGCTCATTCAGTTTCGTTTTGAAAACCCACTTTACTCCAATCCGCTTTGCCCCTTTTGGTAAATCAGTGAGAAACCATGTATTGTTCTTTTCTATGCTCTTGATTTCAAACTCCATAGCTTTCTTCCAATGTTCACTTTTCATAGCTTCTTCAAAATTATCAAGGTCTGAATTTGTACCTACAGCAAAATTAATTTCATTATCTGAAAAACCTTCTCCGCTCACATAATCATTCATCCAGACAGGGGGCCTCCTGTTTCGTACTTCTGTACCAGAGTGTGAGGAAGTGCTGAAAATTGTGGGATGTGTTGTTGCATCACTTGTCTCAATTTCATCTTCAAAAACAGCAATATTATCATCAACATTTGTATTTGTAGCCTCCAAGTCACCATCAATTTCCTCTTCTACAGTTATTTTATCTTCGCTTTCTCCCCATTCAAGCTCATCAAGTATCTGCTGCTTATAGCTATTATCCCAATCCCATTTTTCCTTCTCTTCAAACACAACATCCCTACTGATTACTACCTTCTTTGACACGGGATCATATACTTTGTATCCTTTTGATTCATCGCTAATTCCCAACAGAATGCCACTTATACTTTTGCTTTCCAACTTCGTTCTTTTTGCATCTGGTACATGTATGTGACACACACACCCAAAGACCCTGAGGTGTTCAACTGATGGCTTTTCTCCACTCCAAACTTCTTCTGGGGTTGTATCTTTTAAGGCTACTGTGGGGCATCGATTGAGAACATAAACTGCCCACTTCACTGCTTCAGGCCAAAAAGGTTTTGGAATACCTTTTTCAGACAACATGCTTCTTACACAGTTCATCACTGTACGGTTTTTCCTTTCAGCGACTCTGTTTTGTTGAGGAGTGTATTCCGTCGTCAGTTGTCTTTTAATTCCATTGTCTTTACAGAAATCGTTGAACTCAATAGAGGTGAACTCCCCCCCTCGATCTGTTCGTAGGCATTTGATAGAAAGACCGGTTTCTTTCTCAACAAATGTCTTAAATATTTTGAATACAGCAAATGTATCTGACTTTGCATGCAAAATATACGACCAGACTTTCCGGCTATAATCATCAATTAAGCATAGCACATATTTTCTTTCACTATTAGAAATAGGTGAAATTGGACCACACAAGTCGGCATGAATGAGTTCTAACCTTTGTGTTGCTCTCCATGTGCTTCTTTTTGGAATGGGCTCCCTGTGTTGCTTTCCTTTCAAACAGTCTACACAGACTTCATCTGAGATTGTCAATTGAGGAAAACCATGCACCATTTTCTTACGTTGCAAAATTTGGAGATTTGTGTTGCTGATATGTCCCAATCTGCAGTGCCAGAGGTGTGTGTGGTCCTCACGTGCTGCACTGAAACATACTTCCTGTTTTGGTTGGATTGACATTGATAGCATCTTGGCTACCAAGATGAACATCCGATTTGCCGTCATTTTGGTTTGAATAATCAAACCTTTCTGTGGATGAAAGATTTTGCACATTCCAGCTTCAATAAGGATGGAAAGACCTCTTTCCTGGAGTTGCCCAATGCTTAGAAGATTATTTTTGAGTTCAGGGACACAAAAAACATCACCGACGATGAAATTAGCACCATCAACCTCCATTTTGATGCTTCCTTTGCCAGAAACTTGCATTCTAGTATCGTTGCCCAGCTTCACAGTTTGTTGAGAGACACTTCTAAACTCATAAAATAGAGCTTTGTTACCACACATGTGATTACTACAGCCTGAATCCAAGAACCAAATGTCTTCTCGCTTTGCTCCAATTTCATCGACATAGACCATCAACAACATCTCCTCCTTCTCGTCTAGTTCGGCGTAATTTGAATGCTTTCCCAATGTAGGGCATTCATATTGGAAGTGGCCAAAATTGTGACATCGGTAACATTCCACATTAGCTTTGTTTAGATATGTCCTCCCTCTTCCTCGACCTCCTCTAATTTCTCCTCTTCCTCTGCCTCCTCTTCCTCTTTCTGATCTCCCTTCATGAGTCACCTTCAGCAATACTTGTTCTTCTCCGTCAACATTCTTCATTCTCTGCTCATGGATCAACAAGCTGCTTTGAAGTTCATCAACTGTGAGAGTGTCGACGTTGTTGGATTCTTCAATGGAGCAAACGACATAATTAAATTTTGGTACCAGGGATCTGAGAATCTTCCCTGTAATATCCCTTTCTTGTACAATTTCTCCACACGCTTTCATCTGTTTGGCAATGGAAAGAGTTCGCCCGAAATAGGCATTAACAGTCTTTCCCTCCTTCATTCTGAGTATTTCAAACTCAGACTTCAATGTTTGCAATTGAGCCCTCTTCACCCTTGAGGAACCCTTGAACTTTTGTTTCATAGAGTCTCAAATCTGCTTGGAAGTATCATCATTGAGTATGGTCTCCAAGATTTCTCTATCAATTGCTTGATAGAGATAACTCTTTATCTTCATATCTTTCAATCGTTGCTCCTCTATCACCTTCGTTTGTGCTTCTGTCGCTTGAGTGCCCTCTGGAACCGTATCGAGTCCCTTCTCAATTAGAGTCCAATATTCCTTTGCACGAAGGAAATTCTCCATAAGTTTTGCCCAGTGCTCATAGTACCCATCGAATCTTGGAATTGTCTTTCATCTTTGTAATGGAATAAACACTTGAGATAATGTCAGAGTGAATGTGAGAGGTGTCTAAGATTCAAGGGGAGCCCTGATTGAATTTTCATGAGTAGTATTAGGAAAGAGGTATTGAGCGAAGTGAGTTCATGTAAGACCAACTATACTTCTGACTATTAGGATTGAAGTTATTTCTATAGGGAGTCATGAATAAATATTCACGAATAGTATTAGGAAAAGAAGTATTGAACTAGGAGAGTTCAAATCAAATCAATTTTACTTCTGATTATTAAGAGTGAGTTTTCTTTCATTGGATTAACACCCTCCAAATGTAGGTGATTTTTCTTTCATTTTGTCTGCTACACATTTAAATTTTCATATAAATTGTTACCACATTGCACCTTACATCTTGTCATCCAAAGAATAAAATTGAAGAAGGTAAGTACTCTTTCTTATAATAAAATGCATGATATAAGTGCTAAAGGTTGCAAAGAAAATGGAGATTTTGAAAAAATATTTTGACATATAAGAATCGTTTAAAATCTCTAGAAGACGAAAATAAAAGAATCATCGATGAATTGAATCAACTTGTAAAATGAACTGTGAATTTTGATAAGTGTTAAACCTGTGATTCCTTAAAAAGTTGATATCAAATATTTGCTTGAAATCTAAGCAAGTTCACCAAAGATAGAGAAAATATTGATATGATTGTATCTAGTCAAAGAGTTGCCTATAATAAAGAATGTCTAAGTTATGAGCCTAAAATATATCCAAAGAATTTCAATAATATCTGGAATGTGAATAAATTCTCTAAATGTAATGTGTTTATATTATTTTGTTTTGTTAGAAAAAAAACCATGAAACTAATAATGCTTATTCTACATCTCATTTCTTTAAACAATAGCGTGAAAACAAAATGAGAAATATTGTCCGCTTCATCATTTTTGTGATATAACATCTTGAAGTTACAACAACACACTTCAGGAAGAAGAAATTAGAAATCATATTTAAACCTTTACACCCTAAATATATATTTATAATATTATTTACTTGAAAATTATCAAAAACAAAATAGTAACTTATTTACACAATGCCTTTAACTAGCGGCAACATTCTGATATTTTTTTCTATTACATTTTACTTTCTAAAGTAGTAGTATCACACTTTACAAGTGGGATTAGAAAATAAGTTTGTTAGCCAAATAGAGTCACTAGCAACTGATTTATCATTATCATTCTTATGCCATGTCCAAAGTGCATGTGATGCATTAACCACTTCTAATAGCCCATGTCCAAAGCTAGCCTCTCTGAATAATGATATATCTGGCTTTGGATCTTGGTACCTGTCAACACATATCACACAATTTTGTTAATGATCTTTGTTAATAACTAAGAATGGTTAAAAAAATAACATAAAATATTAGTTACCTTCTGGCTAGTCCTTCACGATTTCCTCCGTCTCCAATGGTAATATGCACCGGACCACAATTGTCACTTTTATCTTTATAAACTCGAGTCTGTAAAAAGAAATAAAATTATCATTTTGTAAGAGAAAAATGTTAGATATATATATTAATGGAATAAGAAAAACTCACAAAGCGTTCGTAGGCATGAACATGTCCTGCAAAAACAACATCAACCCGAGCATGATAGAGCAAATCTTCCATAGAAGCCTTCATGTCAACAGATTCATCCTCACCCTGATGAGCTTTATTAGTATTATACCATGGAGCATGAATCAACACCACTACCCAGGGAGTTTTTCCCCTATTTATCTTTAGTAAATCCCCTTGAAGCCATTTGTATTGCGAAGAATTATGGTGAAACTCAGCATAAGATCCCAACATTATGACATGAACACCAGACACGTCAAATGAATAATAAAGGTTAGAGGTTGAGCCACTCTCTTCAAATGGCATTTTCCATCTTGCATTGTATGCTGTGAATGGTGTTTTGTGGACGATTGGAATCCTTTCGATTTCATGGTTACCTTGAGTGACCATCCATGGACGTTGGCTTGCTAATGGTGCAACCAAACGACCAAAGGAGTCCCATAGATTTTGTATAAAATCAGCATAGGATAAGTCTCCTGGTAATAGCAACATCTCGTAACTTGAATTAGCTATATGGTTCAGAGTTGAAACTGTCCACTCTGTTTGTCCAAGATCTCCTGTAAATATTAAATCACACTTGTTAAAAAATTTTATCACTTAGATACTAACATGTGAAAATGAGTATTAAATCATATTTGGATTTGTTTGAAGGGCAATCTAAATTAGTGAGTTAGTTGACTTATTCGAATGCTACTAACTAACTAACAAAGCACTTTTTAACAAATTTCTACCATAATCCTAAATTATATATATAGTCACTCCGCTCCAAACTCGTATGCATCAGGTTTTTGTAACCGTTCCGTTTTAAACTCGTATGCATCAATCTTCTTTCTTGAACAAAATATTTTTTTGCCCTTGCAATCGATCTCATGTGTTCATGTTGTTTTGGAAAAACCTTCATATTTTCTTTTTCAAGATGTTGTTTATCAAAGGGTGTACAACAAAATATGTTCAAGATATTTCCAATACTCAAGAACTTGAGGGATCGATCTCTGAGATGGATTGCAAGTGTAGAATAAAATTTCTCTTGGTTGACAGAAATAACTTATCATAATTGAATAAGTTATGGAGTGTTTCTGGAGAAGAAAGGATATATAATTAAATTTGGAATAAGAGCAAAGATTTGTCAAAACCTCATTTGTTGTAAATAATGTATTTTAATATTCTCCCTAAACAATGTAATTTTTTAAAAAGTAAATAAATAAAAGCTTATTCACCTCGGTTTTCAACTGAAACCGATAGGTACCTGGAAAGAAATACGTTTTAGTCATAAATGAGGAGATATTTAAGAGTGTTTGTTGAGGATATTCACTATCCTTAAATAAATCTTAGTCTTCCATTTTATGAGTATGAACGCTCTAGACATTGTCATTAGTGATCCGCGTGAAAGCTAACAAACATCCATTATGAATATAAAAAATTGTTAATGAAACATATAACATGAAAACTTTGAAGCGTAAAATAGTTTGGTAAAATTCTCTATGATTGATTGCAAGAACAAAAAATGAATTGAATTTAAGGTTTGTGTTATTTAATAATCATATAACTGTATATTTATTTTATTTAACTAATCCTTTTTGTTTTATATCATAACAAATGAATGAAAAAACCATATGAAATATATTGCATCCAACATTTTCTCTTCCGTGATATTTCAATGAAACGAAGATCCATCATTTATTCTTATTGACATAGACGATGAATTAGATTAAAAATTTGTTATAAATTTTTACTTTAATATTATGTATAAATAATTTAATATTCTGAATAAACAATAAATTTATTAATATTATATAGTTTATAACGAGTTTTGTTAAACAAAATAAATTTAACTTACCCCTCGATTTTATGTTTAAACCGAGAAATATGATGCTAGTTTTGGAAAGAACCGTGATACATCTCTGAGGCACAACTGATTTTTGTAACCTGTTCCAAAAATATGAAAGCCAAATAGGCAAGTTGGTTGGCTTTTGTGATTCATATTGGTATGATGATGAAAAAGTAGAAAGGAGAAGTAGAATGTGTGTGTGTGTTAAAGCTCTTCAATTCTCCAATCTCATGGTTTTTTAAGAAGAAACATTGCCATCATGCAATGTTGAATACATCTTAACTTACAATGCTACTACATGCCAAGGTGACTTTGGTTATAGTCTTTGTTAAGAAGATGTTTAATATACTTAGCCTAGAGATTTAGAATTAAGAGGAAGTATTGAAGGGTAATTCAAATTCATGAGCTACTAACTAACTAATTTTCAACTTGAGGATGAAAAAAACCCTAACATAATTTGATTAGAGATATAGAACACATACCAACTATAGCAAACTTGATTGGAAATCGATCAGGTGTAGTCTTGAAATTGTATGTTGTATTAGTTGATTCACCCAAACGGTAATGGTAGACTGTGTTGGGTTTGAGGGGACCAATTACAACGTTGTGAATTTCACCGGACTTATAGAAACCATCACGATAAGAAGAGGTATTTCCAGTGGCAGAAACTGTGTTTTTCGAAAGAAATTCATTGTATTCCACTTTTGATGGGGTTGGACTTTCTGTGATCCATGATATTCTCATCTTGTCTTGCGCAACTTGAGATATATGTACCTCAAAAATTCCAACAATTTTCTCATTAGCCTTATCAAATTCAATTGCATGAAAAATAAAATATATAGATGAATAATCAACAATTTAGTACCTGTTGTGGCACGGTGTCATTATCGTCGTGAGAGATAAATATGGTTTTACGAGCTGGTGGTCGATCGTAGCCATGAACAACGTCGAATTTTAGATATTCTATAATGATTATTACAACAAAGAGAGTTAAGAAAGGAAAATGTGTTTTCTTGATTGCCATTTTAGTTTACTAATTTTAAAGAGAAAGGATAGAGATTGAAGGAAGAAGAGAGCATTATTATATTTATACCCGAAGTTTAAGAATACTAATATTAACTTTCCATTAATATGGAATTTTCCTGAAAATTTTCTTCGTAAGTAGTTTTTTCCTGTTAAATAGTATACACCTATTTTTGCTTGTTAAATGGATTATGGATGTACTAGATTTTTTTCTCTTTTTGTGTGTAACATTATATTGGAAATGCTAATAAATACTATGTCAAAATTGACTTTAGACAGCGTCACATAGACAGCGCTTATGTCTAAAGTGCTGCTATAGGTTTTCAGAATAATTAAAAATTAAAGGAGAAGCGCTGCTAAAGGTATACTATAGACAACGCTTATTATAAGCGCTGCTATAGGCCTTACCATAGACAGCGCTTTCTTTCCCTAAGCGCTGCTATAGGTTTTCAGTAAAAAAAATAAAAAAATTAGAAAATTAGAATAAGCGCTGCTAAAGGTTATACTTTAGACAGTGCTTACTAAAAGCGCTGCTAAATGTGTTATTCTAGGAAGCGTTGCTAAAGCCTAAAGCACTGCTAAAGGGTATACCTTAGACAGCGCTTTCCATAAGCGCTCACTAGTGCAGAAATGACTTTTACATCGGGTGAAATTGACTTTTTACATCGGTTCTAGGTCCGATGTAAAATCAGGCGATATAGTAAATCAGGTACTTTTTACATCGGTTCTGGGACCGATGTAAAAAGTCCCTTTTTTACATCGGTTATAATATAAGAACCGATGTAAGAAACAGTTATTATGCACATTTTTTAAAAAATTGATCCAGTTTTTTACATCGGTTGGAAGTAATACCCGATGTAAAAAGTCCCTTTTTTACATCGGTTATAATATAAGAACCGATGTAAGAAACAGTTATTATGCACATTTTTTAAAAAATTGATCCAGTTTTTTACATCGGTTGGAAGTAATACCCGATGTAAAAAGTCCCCAGTGACGCAACTTTTTTACATCGGTTATTACTCCCAACCGATGTAAAAAGTCCCTTTTTGAAAGTTTTTACATCAGTTTTGAGTAATAACCGATGTAAAATGTATGAAATTTTTTTGGAATAGATTATTTATTTTCTGGGTTTCCCTGTACAAATATAATTTGTACCCATTTTTTCATATTTTTCCAATATCACACAGACTATATTTATGTCGCTATATAGATTTCATAGCTTTCCAACATCACATTTAGGTCGATGTTTTCATATTTTTCACAACAAACTTACAAATTGAACAATTGTATTGCAAACTTGTATTGTATTACAACAAACAAACTTACAATTACAAATTCTTCACAAAATATAAAACAATATTCAACTATTTATAAGTCTTTTTCAAAACTTACAATTACATATTATTCACAAAATATACAAAAATATTCAACTATTTATAAGTTTCCAAACTTGAATTACCAATATAAAATCTTCGGTAGACAACACCAAAATCATATTGCCTGACAATAAATAATAACAATTAACATCAGCAAAAAAAATCAAGAAACTCAACACATGAGCAAAAACCACATGTATTGTGCAAAAACCACAACTTATACAATTCTATAAAACTCACCAAGATAAACTTAAGTTTCATGTAACTCAAAGAAACATTTTGCACAACGAAGTCGCAAATCATACAAATCATCTGGTGTTAATTCTGTTGGGTCATCAAATACCTATAATACATAAATATAACAATATAGAGTTATTTTTTATAAATTCATATTAAGTCGAAAAACAAAAAGTAAATAACAAAGTAAAGTTATTTTTAGTACCTGCATCCAATTCTCGGTTATATTAGCAGAGACAATATCCAACATATTTTTCATCACATAGTATCCACAATCATTAGAGTTATATTATTGCCTTGTCTACAATTGAATGACATAATTAGTGAATATTTATCATAAATTTAACTATAGAATTACAATTTACATCACACTTACATTGGGATGAAGCCATGTAGCCTTTTTTCTATTTCCATTTGCCATTTGATGAATCCCAAAAGAACTAATACAGAAAGATAAACATCACATAACTAAATATACTCGCCAATGAAAAATCACATAACTATTAGTTGTCAATGAAAGTCACATGAAAGATAAACTTACTTTGTAATAATTTTCTTCGTGTGATGGTCAATTTCCCGATGAAGTGAACAAAATACGACAACTAAATTATCTCTTGGACACATGACTATTAATTGCCAATGTCTCCTGTACGTGTGTGTGGAAACAGAAAAGTCACATAAAATATATATGTTATCAAAATTAAATAATATAAAATACAATTTCATAAAAATTCTTACCCATGAATTAATGGTAGTAAGTGGCACACTCTGTTTTCATCACGTAACTTTTCTAGCACGTAATTTTTAACATCTTCTTGAGATTTCGCTACATTATCATTATAAATACACCTAGCAGGGTCCATAAATCCATATAATTCTGAAATGGAATTCTCAAGACAAACACGATGAATATACCTGAATAATTTTAAAATAAACATTAGAATCAAAGTGATGAGAGATATAACATATTAATAGAGATTGACTTTAATAAAACAATAAAATGTACTTACGTGCACCAAATTTGCAGAATAGACACGTCAAGCCAATGACCTAAACCCACCAATAACTCTCTGATACATTTAGCTGAAACATAAAAATTAGAGACACTCGCACAATGACTTAATTGTATTGCCAAATGGTTATCATCCATTTTCAAAACCATGAGTAACAATCTCTGAACATCATCAACTTCCACGTCTTTTGTGCTCTCTTTTGTGCTTCCCTTTGCAGCTGAACAACTTCCTTTTCCGCTTCCATCGATAATTTCCAATTTTTCAATGCATTTAATATCACCTGTGCTTTGTGATAAACCCATAGACTTAAGTGTCTCCATTAATGATTGCTGAAACATCTTACGCTCTTCAACCAACTTTTTTTCAAGTTCAGCTCTAAGTTTTGTTTCCAATATTGCAAGTTGTTCATTTACGTCGATATGTTGACGTGATCTTCCAAAGTAAGTGCTTTGTTTATGGTGTTTTCCAACACCACGAACACGACCTTCATGCTCAGATGTTCCAATGGCTAATGATAAGATATCGTTACGTCCATCCAGAACAATTGCACCTTTTTCAGCTTCTTGAACAAGAGAATCCTACAAAATGCAAAAACATCAATTAATCAATCACAAATATAATGATACTTGAATAATTTTTCGTTGTTTACTTACAATTTTTTCAGCAACCTCTTGTGTAGATTTTGATGTGTATTCTCCTCCTTTATTTTGTCGTGCTCTCTTCCATAACTCATGGCGTGATGGTGGAGATGGACTATCATTATCATCTAATGTGGAATTATCTCTCGATGATGACTTTTCTTTCATAATTTTCTCCTCAAGTAAGCGATACCCTCCACGAGACAATACATGTGGGTATACATTCTTGGCCACATTATCCTTACCCTTCTGACTTTTTTCCTATTATAAACTCAAACAAGTAATTAATCACTAAATATAATAAAAATGTTATGCACACAAAAACATATAACTCCTACTAACCTTAAATTCAGGGGTATCTCGAATCTTAAGAAACTCTTCCCAGGCGTCTTCTGTAATAAAGTTATACTTGACATATGGAGGAGGATCATTTTCTATGGGATGATGAATATATCTATCTGTGAGTTGTGTCTTAAAACCTCTCCATCGCTCTCCCGCATATTTAATCCATTCTTTCTTCAACCTATCCTTCTTTGGATCTTTACATTCTGGAATAGTAAAATGAGCCTACAAATGTAGTATATGTCACATGTTGTTAATTAGTATATGATTATAAAATATAATAAAGTATTGTATTTAAAATACCTGAATATCAGTCCAAATAGCATCTTTTACGCCTTCATCTACTTCTTTCCAATCATTTTTCACAATACTACAATACTGTCGAGCAAGAGATGCTATATAACTCTTGAAATGTGTAGCATTTTTACCAACACCAATACATTCATAGGTTCTTGCATTAAACTCGACCTTTATCTTTTCACCTGTTTGATGAACTTTGTCAATTTGTGTCATTAAAGTGGGACCTCTAACTCTTCTTTTATTGGGGTTTGAATCACCCATGTATCTGTTTACACAAAACAAAAATAATTAGAAATAATATTAAGCATAAAATAAAAACAATTAGAAATAAAATTAAGCACAAAATAAAAACAATTAGAAAATAAAGTAACGTGGAATTAACTTATACAAAAAATCTTACTAGTCCTCCCATATCCCTTCTTCATGGTCTATGAGAATAGCATGCACATCATCCCCTTCATTTTCTTCAATGAATGTAGTCACATTTGTTGAGAAAGGATGAGTTTTAGAAATATCAAGATTCTCATCATGATTTTCATCACTATCATGGACCTTTCCTTGTAAAACCACTGACCACTTTTTATTAGAAGGATCTGTGACATAAAACACTTGTTTTGCTTGAGATGCCATGATGAATGGTTCGTTCGCATAAGCTAACTTGCTAAGATCAACCAGTGTAACTCCAAATTCATCGATTCTGACACCACTGTTGATATCAATCCATTTGCATTTAAATACAGGAACTTTAAACACAACATAATTAACTTCCCAAATCTCTTCAATCACCCCAAAGTACGGTGTAGATGCCATAACCGGGTTTTTATCTTTAGCACTAGAGAAGTGCATGGACTCGGCCACAATCATTACCCTACTATTTTGCATGGTACTACGGTCATCCTTTGACTTTGTATAAAAAGAGGTTTTATTAATATCATATCCACTCCAAGTTATTATGTTACATTTAGGCCCATAAGACAACCACTTAATTGTATTAGAAACACTATCTTCATTAGTAATTCTTTCTTTAAACCACTCAGAGAAACTCTTATTATGCTCTTTTAACAACCCTCTTTCATTCATCTTGGGGTACTTTTT